ATAATAATGGCAATATAATCATATAACCAACTTTTGTGTTACCGAGAAAGCTAACATTAAGTTACGTTACTATTACATTGAATATTTACCGATACAAAATTGGCGTGTTGTTTAAACATGCCTCAACAAGGTTCGTTTAGACAGCTTTATAAATCTTTGTCTAAATTTCAGTAAAGACGGTCATTGTAGGAGTGTAACTTCCATTATTGAATCTGTCGTATTTATTCGAATCGTTATGATAATGTCGCAAACGGCTTAGAAATCGCTCGTCCATTTGCAGCAACAAGACTCCAAAGAGTTGTTAAAACACGTGAGAGTCTGAACGTTACATTGGTATACTAATACGTCTATTGAGTCACGTAAAATCAATAAAATACCCCACGCTTAATAATATTGAGCTTTCGCTAATGTAATATGAAACCAATCAGATTCCTCCTCTCTAAATGCATAAATGTTCTCCTTCATCGCGCGTTTGTGCCGCTGTGCCATGACATTGCGCCATGAGATCATCTCTTATTGATGTAGGACAGATCGTCTAAGAATAATAAACCATCTCCCGATAAAAAAATTCTTTGTAGGCAACACAACACAGTATATAGCAATATATAAATTAAGCTGTATCTCTTCTCGCGACAAAAAAATCTTGTCCATCGCATCGTCTCCCAACTGTAACTCATTACAAATAGACATAGGAACAACTCGATAGTGATAGGTGAACATGAACAGACTCCCTGCCATCATTCGCGTATTTCCTCGAGTTGGTATTGAAACCTATCGTAGGAGTGCACTGGGTATGAGGAGAGCCAGACCGTTGGAAACTGTCGGTAGGTTGAATAGAACATGGAGAAAAAGATCGGAAAGAGCAAGAGTAAGAGCAGGAAAAGAAAAGGGATAGGAAATAAAAGTATCTTTTAGAAATATTAACAAAACAAGACTACAATTTCATTTGTACTATTAATAATCTCTCTATTCTGCCTTTCCTCTTTCCAAGTCCCTTCGATCGCATCCGCAAGCATCCGATTATACTCCTCGGGACATGAAGATGAATCCTTTGAGGCATTTACCGATCGTTTCGTTAAATACTTTGAAAACGCCGAAGATTTATTCGACTTGCAACGCGGCTTAAACAATTGCTTTGCTTACGACTTAGTTCCCGCCGTCCCGATAATCGAGGCAGCACTCAATGCTGCCCGACGTATGGATGATTATTCTACTGCAGTTAGAATTCTTGAGGGTCTTAAACAAAAAGTCGAGAATCAGCAACAATATAATTTATACTTGGAAGAATTGAAGCCTCTTAAGGATGAACTGGGAATCTTGACTCCGGAAGAGATGTCGACGTAAAACTAATCTCTGGAAAAGAATGAAGGTTTGGGGATTCTTGGATGCTAAATGAGTATGTTTCATATTCGGTTTCAAGAACAATTGCTTGTAGGAAGGGAGGGAGGGAGGGAGGATGATATAATTATAGTTGTAACTAAGCTACTCAAACGGATGTGAATTGCAGTCTTCTAAATGAGAAGAGATCTCAATACATTGTTTATTGTCTACTTGCAGAGTACACTCAACGTGAATCGATCCCAGCTGGGTGTATTGAATTCGAAGTTTTATGTATTCTAAACGATCATTTAACTTTTTGAGCGAATTTAATAAAATTCGTTTTCAGCCCCAACCTTTTGCTGGGCGGACAATAAATAACACAGATTGAACTCTTTCCTTAATTGTATCATTAATAAACATTAATATGAAAAAGTCACCGTAGAAAAACAAGCTATCTTAATATAGTCTTTCTAAAGTCTCTTCCGAATGTAATATTAGATTAACAATTGCGTGAGTATAATTTATTTAACAATTACGATTATCCCCAATTAATAGTGTATCTCCAAGTCTTCTATATCCGCATACGATTCTCATCCCATCAGCTGCGAATTATCTTTGGGGGGATATTTCGATTGGCAAAAGGTCATTAACCTTTTTATCGACTGAATCCACTTACGGGTGGCTTCGTCATTGAGTACATGAGCTACCTGAGCCGAGAAAATCTTCTCACGCGCCGAACGTTCGTGGATACTGAGAGGAAAGAGGAATGCATGTGTATGAGTTAAAAGAATCTCGTAATATAAAGATTTGTAACCGTGTTGTTTGCTTATTTGACATATTACTTACCCCACCATAGTAACCCCGATGGGCCATGGGGCATTACCAATCGATAGTCGTAAATATGCATCGTTGGCATTTATATATTCTCGCTTTTGCATGTAATGCGTTATTTCAGTGACTCGTGCCAATACATCGGGCTCTATTCTCTGAATTTGGGTTCCAAAAGTACATAAGAAATCTATGGTATATGGATAACATCCACACCGTAAAGTCCACAATAATCTGCTCAATCAACAACCAATTTCCCAATGAAAACCGAACTAGTTTATCACTCGTACCTTTCTCTTCAATGTTCGAAAGAATGGTCTCAAATATTCGGTAGTTTGTCTCTGAATAGCGGCCTGAAGTTTACCCTGAGTACTACGCTTTACATTGTCAAGGCGATTATTCAATTCCTGTTCCCACTCTCGCAAAAGTCTCTTGAAAAATGTGTAAATTAACATATGAAGTTTGTCCGGATCTTTTTCTAGTAATTCCAGTGTTATTTGAGTTGCGTCCTATGACAAGATTTAGATATTAGTCATCGACAGACGATAGCTAATTAGGTACAACGTAATGAGAGCATGACAGTAACTCACCAACGCCGAGTCTTCGATAATCTTCTTTTTCTTCTCATCTTTATCAGCAGAGTCGTCACCTCGTGAGCCAAGCACTTCGAGGTCTAGACCCGTCTCCATCTCTTCCAGTGTTTTCATAAAATCATTTCGTTGACCCTATTGCATATATAAGTGGTAACTGTATATATCTTTGTATAATCAGCACAAATAAATCTGGTTCATCACTTACTTCCGTTCTCTCCTCAATGACTTCAAGGGCTCTTAGACGGATCTTGCGCTCTTCATCGGTTTCGCCGAAAAGTCGAATCGGTTGTCCTTTTGCGCGAAGACGACGTACTACTTCATCTACGGCAATATTCAACGTATCCCTATTACCATTCTTGGAACAAGTTTAAAGGAAAATAACGAGTTCACCATGGGTTATACAAGAGAACAAAAGTCAAAGGAAACTTATATTGAATGCAAACATTAAGTCAGTGCTTACATCGGCATTATGGCTTTCTCCATCTGAACCTGATTTATCTCCTTTTTTTTGTTCGGCTAGGCGTAAGAATTGCTAATAATGTAAATTGAACGAGAATTAGACACGACACAGGAAAGAGAGACTATGAAGATTTATCAAAACGTGTAGAATCGTACCGCCCGATTCTTCTCCTTCAACTTCTCCTGCAATAAAAAAAAAGAGAAATCGCTAGTTATAATCTTTCAAATCCTTTCTTTATGTTGACTATTATCGCGTGTACCATATCATACCTCCCGCTGTGTCTCTCTCTCAGTTTGTTCCCTCAAATATTCTTCCTCTCTTTTTTTCTCTAGATCTCTCTGACGCATGTACTTCTTCGTTGTAGAGTCTCCGGTACCCTGTAGTGAATCAATTCTTTTTCTTTTCTTTTCGATCTCTGCTTTTAGGAAGTCCATATTCTTGTCTGGGGAAGGAAGGGACAACAATTCTATAAATTTAATTTTTGTGTTTAGCTAAAATTTGGTCACATGGTTTAGTTGTCTGCATAGTAATAAGTAATAGAAATTATTTACATGGTATGTATTAGTATAGCATAATAAAATTAGTAGATGCAAAACTCTATACTAATACGCGCAGCGAGTGCAGCACTTTTAGATATATAAGTAGCTCGATTTTCCATTAGTTTTCCTCATGTTCTTGATCATGTTCACTTTTTCTAATAAACGAGTGATTTTTTATGCTCTGAAATACATTTCATGTGGTGGCAATTATGATTCGTAAATGTATTTTAGCTAGATACAAATAAGCCCCGACCTACGGACCTTCCCAAAAATAACGAAGTCTCTAACAGACTTCTTCCTTACATCTTATTCTTCACGTGGCAAACAATAATTTTTGACAAATTTTCTTCGAGTAATTCAATATAGAATTTCCCGTCAAGTTAACTCATGCTCAGTTTCAAAGATTGATTAAGAATTTCCCGTCGAAGCAACTACTGAGCAAATTCTGATCCGTATTACCAATACAGACAGTGGTAAGGGGATACAGCGTTCATTTATTTGAATGCTATTTTGAGGCCACGCTTTGAATGATATAGCTCACTTTCATCCAAATATAAAACTAACATCTTCAGACTTCTCAATAAAATAAAGAAATTGTTTATTTCGCGTAATTATGCGAACACTCCTGGTGTCCCCTTCTTCATCCTCCACGAGACGTACATATCCTTTGTCTTTATCAGCATATTCTTCTGTATTTTTAAGAGAAAAAAATTCAAAAAGGCAATGACTTCAGAGAACGTACACTTGTGAGTATGGGAAATACATTATTATCACCCAACCATAATAATACTTCATCGAACAGTTTGTGTTGCTCTGGTACCGTGAACAAGCGCATTACGCGAGAAGTAGCATTTAGCGAGTACGGGTGTTTGTAGCCAATACTTGAATAGTTTTCACTTTTTACGTATGTTACAAAAAAGGTTTGGAGCCGTCTGATTATTATTATAAAATATTTTATAACGCAATAATTATTTCAGCGCTTTTTCTTAGTAGATGCGTTTAAAAAACGCATTCGTATGTTGTCGTAATATGCATTTAGACAAGTTTTGAAAGACAAATTAATTATCTAAAAAATTTTGCTCAGCGCTTAGGCTTATTATTATTATTATTATTATTATTATTATTATTATTGTATTAAATATCGCAATCAAATGACGTAAAAGTTGGCAAATACAAATTCAAGTAAAAAGTGGTTTCGCGTTTACGTTTGGAAAGCAAGCGTCTTTTATGTTGTTGTTTACAACCATAAACTGATTATCATTATCTAGTATTATTGTTTAAACCTATTTCATTTTCAGTGTTTTCTCCAGCTATTTCTTCCAATGAACGACCATTAGTTTCCGGTAAGTAATAAGTAAAACCCATTCCAAACAACATTGCAAAGGCAAGAATAAGAGACCAATAAAACACACGTTTAGGATTCTTATCCATTTCTTCGACATCAAATAAGAGTTCGAATCCCAAATATGAAATCACAGCAGCCAATTTACCAATAGCTGCTGTAATGGCATACCCTGTTGAACGAAAGCGAGTGGGGAAAAGTTCCCCCGCTATCAGAAATGTCACCGGGTCCGGCCCACATGTCTGAAAAAACTTTATTTGAAAGAACAAAAAATTGTTATGTAATACTACCAACAAACGTCGATACGAGTTGAGTTGAGTATACATATTCTTACCATTATAATTGTTGTCATTGCAATATTCCATTGAGATCTGACTGCCATGGTCATGGGTGCAAATCCAATGATACTACCAAAAATAACAAACAAAATCGCCGACATGGCAAAGCCAAAATATGTAATTGGTTTTCTGCCGTAATGGTCAATAGTAAAAAAGGTCGTTATCGCGCCTGGAAAGAACCCAGACACTAGGCAGATGGCACTGTTGTAATTTTTCTCCAAAACCCTCTCATAAGGAGTATCTTCCCGGGCGGCCAAGTTAATGCCTGCCAGAGGAGTGTCAGAACGAAACCCGTAAGTTGCAAGGTCCACAAAGAACCACGCAAAAGATGCTGCGAGCAACACTCGCCCGTGTTTCCATTCACGAAAATGGCTGTACACGGCTGCTAGTGTTGTTTTGTTGGCGTTATTTTGATGTCGACGGTTATTATTATACTTTACATTTCCTGACACGATGAAGTTAATGTCGTCCGCTGCCTGATCGAGGTTTTCCTCGATATCCAAGACAAATCGTGGTGTCTCAGGAATAGTCAACCGAAAGAACAGAGCGATAACAGCAGGAATTGTTCCAAGACCAACGATTATGCGCCACGCATAGTCAAAGTTGCGTGTATCATTATCGATGTCGGTATGCATCGCACCAAGAACGGCAATGGTGACTAAACAGGCCGTAAGCATACCCATTGCAATCATAATATATGTTACTGCCAGCATCCTTCCTCTATAGGCTTTTGGAGCAAACTCAGAAACGAGTACTTTCGAGATTAAATAAAGTAAATATCACAAAAGCAAAGGTTGATAATATCAATAACTAATTGAGACTAAAGGTTTATACATACGTATGCTAGCTGGATAATCACCACCCATTCCAATGCCAAGAATAAATCTAAAAAATATTAAGTTGCCGATCGCCGATACGGCTTGTCCACTGCCGGCGAGAGCACAACAGATTGTTGCGCCTATAATAATCATAAGTTCCGTACCATATATCTAATATCACAGATTTATATTTATAACCAATTCATTAGAATGACGACTGTTGTCCCTTTTTTTTCTGTCAAATTAACACTTTAACCAGTATTTTATGCATTTAAATACCTTTTTCCTACCATAGCGATCTGCCAAATAGCCAAACACTAGCTGGCCGATCATCATGCCAAAGGGGCCTGATATTTTTAGGCCAATAGCGGCATTTTTTGATGTAGCAGAATCGTCGTTATAAGCATAACCCACCATCGGGCTCACAAAACTTATTACATGCCAACCGTATCCATCTGTAAAAAACCCAAATCCTGCAACTATGCACGCCCGAGCATAAAACCAAGAAAAGGAGGCGTTGTCAAATTTCTTAATGAGGGCCTGACGTTTGTCTACAAAAGTTTCGGGCCGTTCGAGAGCTTGTACGCGGTTAGCTTCTTTGGATGATGGTATGAAATTGTTATCTGCCATTTCAACATACTATGTTCAGGTAAGTTGACGGGTAATTTCCAACAGAATCAACCTTATATAATGATTAAAAAGTTGATGGTTTAAGGCAGAAAAGTTAATGTCTTGAGAAAAACCTCGTTATACCTAATAACTGTCGTCTGTATTTTTAAAGGAATTAGGTATTATGTTGTACATTTAAATTCTTGTGGTTTTTGAGCATGTAGTCTGACTTGGTTGGTAAGCTGTATTTTTTGTAGTACGCTAGGGGCTGTTCGTTATGGAATAAGTTATGATTTATTATGCGAGTGACAGCAGGAACAAAAACAAATAATGAAGACTGCGCTTGCTGTTGTTAATTGGAAACGTTAATTAGCAAAAATGCTGTGGTAATTCTTTCTTTAGAAGTGAGCAAGCGGGAACAAATCTAAACTGTTTCAAAAATTCGAAAAATCGACATTGAAACGAATGAGCGGAAATTCTCAACATGAAATGAAATATTAAGTTATAAAATAATGCTGTCGAATGCTCTTGTTTTAATTATTCCCTTTGTTTTCCTTTTTTTGTTATATTAATATAATATGCTTAACGTTACGAGGGATCTGCACATGATAAAAACAAAGATCGACACCCTCTCACAGTTTATTTATTAATTTATAAAATGCTACCATTATGTAACTGTTCGTCACAAACAAAAAAGTGCGGTTCTAAAGTTGACTTATTGGTTAGTGATTGTCACGGGATCACCAATCATGTTATTCTTTTACATATAATAGAGAGAAGATACAAACGCTTAACTTTATATCTCACCTGCTGAAGGGGTCCGCTATTACTTCAAAGGTAAAGTATTGTGAAATTGCATAAACTGACGAAAGTTAGACCATTAATTCGATTTATACCAAATATCACGTTTTCTTAAATTTCATTATAATTGCCTTGATTGCACGTGCACTAGGAGAGACAGACTCCAAAAGCATTCGATAGCTGAAATGGGAATCGCTTATTCTTTCACGTAAAGAAGGCGAACAATTCCCGAAGAACAAATTTCTGTATTCGCGATCAACCTTGAACAATAAGCACTACGGTCATCCGATGAACTTCGAATTATTTTCTCGAAAGATAGTTGTTTTGAAACATGAAGGCCTGTATCGTAAAGCAATGTGGCACATGCATTAATTACATCGAAAATTTGATATTCTGCCAATGCTTGCTGGTTAGCTCCTCGTCATACTATACACGTTAATACGAGTCTTACCAGTCAAGATTGGACGTTACAACAAGTGCATTCACAACATTCGTACCCATTCCATTTCGACCCACGTCAATACGAACAGCAAGCAATCTGACTGTGTGGTCTCTGGTAAACATACGTTCAAAGTAACAAATTTATTGATTCCAATTTACAAGTTTCACGCTCATAAGCATTTAGTACAGATTCAATGAATGCACTACTATAAAGACACATCATTCTATTTACCCTCCTTCTGTAATCTCTCCAAATCTTGTAACATACGGTCCGGCCCAGACACTTTATAACTCAACGCTCCAGGCTCTTCGAGATTAAAAATCTTCACAACACAATCACTAACATACATGGAATATCTATAATTACGAATGCCGGCGAACGGAAGCCGTTGAATGAGACTGAGGGCGGAATGGAAGGTCGCATCTCCATCAGCAAGCATTAAAATTTTGTCCGCTGTGTTGTGGTTGCGTGCCCATTCACGAAGAACGTATGGGTCTTTGGTAGAAAGGATTCAAATTATAGAATAAGAATATAGATAGAGTATATTAGGAGATGAGTGGAATGTCATGGAATAGACCCAATTCATTCTTTTCGATTCAAGCCGGTGACTAGAAATTTCATTACCATTCACTGCAGTACATGCAACAATATCGACACCTTTCTGCTTTAACTTTTCGTATCTGTCGTAATATTGGGGGAGATGTTTCGAACTGCAGACCGATGTAAATGCACCTGATGACAAGAACACAATCCGTCATTCTGGTTACGGAAGTCGCAATAATAATAAATGGTATTTATCGTCTCCTACCAGGAATCCCGAACATGACGACATTCTTCCCACCGAATACTTCTTTCACAGTGACTTTTCTAGGTTCGACCTCTCCTTCATTTAATGCTCCAAAATACAGGTCCTCAGGGAGTCGATCCCCAACGGATATTTTAGGCTTTTCTCCCGAAATAGCAGACATTTGGGATCAAAGAAAGTCTGGGACGGCTGTTATATATACCGTAAGCTACACATTTACATCAGATGTCATAGTGATGTATTAATGATACGTCATGTTAATGAGGATAATATCCCATATTTATTCGTAATCAGACTATGATGAAAACGGTTAATTCGAAAGTGGCGCTCAGAGCTATTAGAGGGAGGGGTATTTTTTTAGTCGGCTCCCATTTAACGACGAACCATATGATAACATCTCCTATCCACAATCATGATTTGACATTCCCTTCAACTACAACTCGTCTCTCGCTTCCTCTTCCTTCTTCTTTTTCAAATGCGGACATTTGGTCACATCCCCATGTCCCTCCGCGCCATCATGTTTAAAATGCGGACACTTGTTCACGTCCCCAGGCGTCTTCTCTTTATCGTTTGCATGTGGACATTTACTCAAATACGGACATCTATCACCTACAACTCCGTTATTCTCATCAAATTCCTTCCTGAGTTTCTCAAAGTATGGACATTTATCCTTTAGCGGACAGTCAGAATTTGACCAGTCAATGGAGGGAAGCGGAGAATGAGAGATCAGAGACGAGTAATATGGACATTTTGTCGAGAGCGGGCAGCCTGGAGTCGACGGAGTTGCAGAGAGCGTCGATGAAGAGGGGGGCGAGTTGATAAGGATTATGATAAGGATCAGGAAAAGCGAGCAAGCGAACTTGAGTGAAGATTGCATTAGATTCTGGATACGAATATTATGATGTACGCAAAAATTGGGGTGACGACAAGTAACTTGTATCGCGGCACTTGCACATGATACTGCGATATTTATACAACACACAATGCTCTATTGCACGTGATCTAAGCGGGATGTTACACATCATTCCGTTCTAGTATATTTTTGGAATAAGTAAGCGAAACAACTGCTGACGAGTTTGCTCAAGCGTGAGACATTTCACATAGTTTCGAACAGTTGAACATTACATTTTTTCCCAAGCAAAGACAATTGCCCCAAATTCTCATGTCATACATTCTTTTGTGTGGAGTGCTGTATTATTGTCGCGTCTGTTACATACCTTCGATCGAAACAGGTGTATCAACAGAAGGATAATTTACTGGCTTCGATATTAAAGTACATGACTCCACGGATATTGGTTAAAATTGCTGGACGCCACAGATTTGGCTTAACCAATTTTCACCAGGTACGCTTTCTGACAATACCAACATCTCCATTTGTGCAATTTCATTCGTCACATTTTAACATTCTTTATTCGAACCTAAAACTGGGTTTCCGATATCAATGCCATTTGATTTCGGGAAGAAGATATCCTGTCTGAATTGTGACTTTGTAAGTTATTAGTGACTGCACACTGTTCATTCCATCTTATTGTAGAAAAAGGCATACTATCGGGTAATAGTATAGTTTTGCTGAATATGAAAAGACAATATATTTAGTTGTAATTGTAATTGCTAAAGAGAGATTTCGGAAAGACAAATTTGCTTAATTACGTGAAGCTTTCAAGCAATGAGTGGCAGAGAAATAAGTAATAAACGATGCCTAAACGAGGAAACGAATGCTAATAAGAGAATGTAGTATAGTAATACCAAATTGTCAACAAACCGCGTTGCGAAGAAACTTACGTCATTCGCGTTATTAATAACCTCTTGGACGAAAAACATTCACCAGATGAAAAATCTGGATTGTAAGGAGAATGAGAGGATGCACTTGCCATCTTCATGACAGAGTTGCGTTTATGTGGCATTGCACTATCGTGATGAAGCATATTCACAACCCTATCTTCTGAAACCACTATTTTAGCAATGCCTTTTTCTGCTAGCTTTGGATGTTTTCATAAATTGTTCCTTACCAATCCATACTTTATTATGTATTTCACTAGGAGATAAATGCATATTCATATCCAATGATTATTGTTAACGACTTATATTACCAGAAACTTTGGCGGGTTAAACTACATCCTTTCCCGATTTTTCTTTATTCTCATTATTGTTATTTTCAGGACAATGCCGCAACCTACTAACCCTGACGGCTCCCGCAATTCGGCGCAGTCTGTAGGGAGAAATAATATGAACGGATGTTATGTAGGATGTGGGCGTCTAATAATTATGTAGTCTTCATAAGGTCCGTTGTGTGAAGCAAAAACCTCATCATCATAAAACCAGCAATTAATTTATAACAATATTTCCTGTAGGGATACATGACACAACGTGGTACCAGTTCATTTGAAAGTATCTCTACATTACGAGGGGAAACGATTGAAACGAATAAATTTATTACATATGTGCGAAAACGCGTTTAGATTGTTCTTATTGCTCAAATGTTAAGACGAAGAAGAAATCATTCAAGCTTTTGTTTAAGCTGTGCTTTCAGGGTGGCAGCATCTTCAGCGAACTTGCGGATGCCTTCAGAAAGCTTCTCGGTAGCCATTGCGTCCTCATTCAAGGCCCATCGGAAGGATTTCTCATTGAATGAAACTCTCTCTTCTTTCGTAGCAGCAGCTAAATATTTTATAACCAATATCGTTAATCTACTGCCATGCTTGCAAGAAAATTGCTCATACTATACATTCTTTCTTACGCCATCCCCACCTACCTTTTTCACTACTCAATTTCCTCGAGATAATGTCATTATTACTGCTAAGTTCTGCCAACAATGTGGGACTAATAGTTAAGAAGTCGCATCCAGCCAATTCTGTGATTTCACCAATGTTCCGGAACGAGGCACCCATAACTATAGTCTTATAGCCGTGATTCTTGTAGTAATTATAGATGCGGGTCACGGATATGACACCTGGATCTTCGGCAGCAGCGTAAATTTTGCCGGTAGCTTTTTTGTGCCAGTCAAGAATACGGCCTACAAAGGGGGAGATCAGAGTGACGCCGGCTTCAGCACAGGCTACTGCCTAGATAATAAAGGAGGAGCGCGAGTTGTCTTAGGCTCGTATTGAACAAATAGATAAAGAAAACCATGTTGACTACTCGCTTCATATTATATGTACACCTTACCTGAGGGAAAGAGAACAACAAAGTCAAATTACAGTGTATGCCTTCGCGTTCCAATTCCTCAGCGGCTCGAATGCCTTCCCATGTTGACGCAATCTTGATCAGTACACGCTCTTTAGGGATTCCAACTTCATTGTAAAGACCGATTAGACGTTTGGCCTTTGCGATTGTAGCCTCTTTGTCAAAGGAGAGCTTTGCATCAACCTCAGTAGAGACACGACCAGGAATAATTTTTAGGATTTCGGCGCCAAAGTTGATAAGCTTTTAATCGAACCGAAGAGTAATATAATTTGAATATTCAAATGTTTGTATTAGTAATTGTTGCTCTAAGACAAGAAGGAATATGAAAATTTCAATTATACCAGTTTGTCGATCGCCCATTCAACTTTCTCGTCGACCGTGCTAAATCAAGTTGAGAATACAACGTCGTCGTTAGGTAAGTAAAGATCTATTTCGGTCACAGATTTGGTAATCCAGTTGTCCGTTTAGATATCTTACCCGGATTTCGTCTTTGCATATGCAATCGCAGAATCGATCAAGTGATGATACGCACTCTTTTTAGACGCATTCAATATCAATGATGGATTTGTAGTTGCATCTTGTGGCTTATATTGAGCGATTGCTATTTTTTATAGATATTGATGGATAGATTGCTGTAATTTCTCACTACCGTGCTAAAAACAGTATTGCATTATCGAGCGAGGTATACTAACATTCGAAATCTCCAGTGTCCGCGACAATAACTGTCCAATTTTTGATCTGGTCGAGAATGGAAACCATTATGTTGACGAGTATGTGAAACTGTGTGAAGACAAAAGACAAGGATCGGGTATTTATATATATACTAAGAAGATCACTTGTGACATCATCGACCAGCCCAATGATGAAAAGGAAACTCCCGTAATGGTGTAAGCAAATTCATTAACTTGTGTTTCATATTCAATTAGATTGATTATCAACCAAGGATCATCCAAAGTATTTCATTAGTCATCAGCCATATCCAATCATGTCAAATGGCGTGCGACATAACATTAGTAATGTTTAACTATGCAAAAGACGAAGAATGCCGGGATGACGATCATCGAACTTTTTCATGTGTACAAAAGTAACTCAAATTCGACAGACTACTGATCGAGCAAATGATATTTTCGATTTCTTTATTCAACTCGGATACAATCGGAACGGGGGCAGACGATCCCGATAGACTTGTGGTTCGGACTATCAATAATGAAATAACACCTATAAAATTGTACAAACATACTTCATCAATCTGACCGTTAAAAATCGTGTAAGTTCATCACGCTGTATCGACCGGAGCATGGTATTTTGTACGAAAAATAATAACTGTGTTTCGGCCGCATTTAACGTTTTGTGCAATTTTCAATACAAAACCCTAACAACCCAAAACCGCCCACCTTTTTGAAACACACACCGCATTGCTTCCAAAGAATGTTTACTATGATAACGATATCGGTTAACAGTACCTTAATGATAAATATAAATCTACAGTGTGACAAAAAAGCAAATTTATTACACATCCGTCAAGACCACGCCAAATTTAACAATTAATGCATTATTAGAAAGCAGAAAAGATACTAAATAAGTTTACTAATTCTCTAAGCTTTAATATGCAAAATTTTTTTAAAGCTTTTCAACATTACATTTCATGGTTGAGACTGGTGGCTTTGTAATTTTGCCTAACTCGGCACTGATTCCTTTATTCCAATAATGCAATAAAGAGTGCAATAAAGAGTGCAATAAAATATTCTCGATAGTATAGTTTGCAAGAGTTTGTTTCTGCTTTTATTTATTAAGACGCGTAATAAATAGGAAAAGCAAAAACGTATATTAATATGTGGGGCATTTAAATAAATTGGGTCATGATCTTCAAAACAAACTGAATTCAGTTTGTTTTGAATTTGTAATTGTTGAAATATCTTCTATCAGATACCATTACTGAAAACAAATGGCTGATTTTTCATATAACGATAAACAATTACAATTTTACATTTTTGTTGAATATGAATGGGAAAATGGAGTAAAGGCTGGAAAATTGGTGAATGGTAACAATGCCACACTGGATTAAGTGTTTTGAAAGCGGGAGAGAGAGCCATAAAGATGTCTCCGGAGGCCCGTGAAGCATTGACATAAAATATTCACAACATGCTTAAGGAAAGTCCTAATACTAACAAAGAAAAAAACCCCCGAAATACCATATTAATATGCTAAACAAGTCCTGCCAAAAATTTAAAGAAGTAAGAGAGCAATTGTTTGTATATTAAAATTCACGTGATCCTGATAAATATTATACTTTATTTCGTTGCATTCTCTCATTGGTTAAAATATCGTTCGATGCTTTTCTATCTCTAATAAATCTTCGAGAATATTATGTGTTCACTTGCATTTTCTTGTTGAATTAAAAATGCTTGTACAATTTCTAAACTTTCGACGCTGTACTGGCACTGATAGCTGTTAGAAGACGACGTTACTACAAAATTGCATTATATTGCGAGGCATCAGAAAATAGAATATTAAACTATCTGTCAACTGATGCTATTGATGTCTGAATAAATACATGACCCGATGTTATTCTATTACGATGGCAGACCTCGAGCACAATTTGACATTAGAAAATAGTTTGCTTGTCAAAGTGGGATGATTCGTTAAATTTTATAATAAACATAATATGTTATTGTAGTGGTAGCAATTGTTGTTAAAGATTTTTAATTCGCCGAATTTTATTGGTGATGGACGTTTTCTAACTATACCAATGAGTCACGTGAGTGCATTTACGGAGAATTGCAAAATCCATTGCACGTGCAGAATATAGAGAGTGTGCATTTAGCGTTAAGTCCCGCGGTTGGGACTATCAAATAGGGTGCATTTAAAGAGAGAGAGCATTTAGGGAGAGAGCATTTAGGGAGAGTTCATTGTATATGATATTATATTATAATTAATATGGAATCTTTCTTAAACTCCAAATTTACCTACAAACTAGAAAAATATTAAGAATCTAATATAGAATTTAAGATTAAAACAAAACTGGGCTCAATTCCTGCTATTAATGTCGGATTATTTCTGCCATTATTTTGCCTTGAACATGATTGGTACATTATTAATTCAGCTTTTCTGATACCTGCTATCCCCATGATATTTATACTTGATTCTTCTAACTTAGGGTTGACCAATTTGTTGCACTATCCTATCATAGTAATAGAACACTTTTGACATTATAATTAGAGTCAGTGCTGGAACCAGTATCAACCAGTGCCATTGCTTTGCAACATAGTAATAGTGGATCTGAATCATCAGTCACTCCATATTGCTGTGCAGCATTTGAGCCCAGTTTCTATATTGGATTCTTAATACGTTTTCTAGTCTTGTAGGTAAATTTGGAGTTTAAGAAAGATTCCATTCCATATAATATTGTATATCGGGAAAGAGGCCGGGCTCCACTACATTTATACTCTATTCAGAATTTTTGTCCCAGAACTCCCAAAGTTGCTCTAGTCCGGATTTAGCACTTTGTAACTTTTCCCTGTTGTCTAAATTAAGAAAGAGCTCGAAGGAAAGAAAAATACGAATATTGAAAACCTTTCTAGGCAATTACTGACAGCATTCCACAGGAAGAGTATTGTGAAACTTTGAAAATTGGCGAATAAGGTTGCAACATCGCATAGATGTAGGAGGAGAGAATTAGTTTAAAGTATTATTATTATGTAATCTGTTAAAATAACAAAAGCTTTTTGAACGTTCCATGTATATACACTACTACTACCTGGACAAAAGTATCGGTCACCCTAACTTTATTAATTGCTCAAAAATGTACATAATAATTATAATTGGAACTAAAATTTTATATGTTATAGTCTAACTTCTTCTGAATCTATATATAAGACTAATAATACTTTGTTGGCCAGCCCTTGCTTGCAATACATGCTTCGACCCTTCTAGGCATACTTTTAATTAAATCCATTAAAACGTTGTTGGGAATTTGGCTCCATTCCTCCTGTAATGCTGTCTCAGGTTCCCTTACGTTTTTAGGCAAAATCGAACGGTTTCTCCAAATAACAGACTTCCATTTTCGAATAGACCAATCCTTTCTTTCAATACACCAGTTTAGGCAATTTTCTCTTTGCCGATCAGTAAGTAAATGTCGGAATGCGAGAAAAAAATTTAATTTCGTGTAAATAGTTTTAGTAGAAACATCAAGTCCGGTTCTTTCATTAAACAGTTTTTTGAGTTGTTCGGCTGATTTTTTTGTTGCTTTGCTTAACAACCCGTTTTAATACTTGCTTATGCTCAAAATTTAAAAGTTTTGGGCGGCCACTGCGTGGTTGGGTTGTGAGGCTTTTTTTTTTCGTGTTACTGTTCTAAGAAAGCCAAGCGTCTTAGATATGCTCGTTTTTGTAGCGCCACTTTTAAAAAGCCCAATAATTTAACCACGTTCAGCTTCAGTTAAGTCAGACATTTTCAAAGTAAAGATTAAAATTAACTGATTCAGTTTATTATATTGATTACAGAAGAAATAAATATAATCAACGCGTAAAAAATATATGCGCGTTTCATAACAAATTAGACTATAACATATAAAAATTTTAGTCCCAATTATTATGTATCCTTTTGAGCAATTAATAAAGTTAGGGTGACCGATACTTTTGTCCAGGTAGTGTAGATTATTCTCTCTTTATTAATAGCACCATAGTAAATGCTGTATATGGACGATCATTCCACTGGATATTAATATGTGTTTTGATTTACTGTAAGAGTACATATTCTAGCGTATCGAATGATTACGCTGGTATTTGTAGGAAACAGCTATTGGCAGGTATAGTAAAAGCTTGAGCTCTTATTCGTCGACTTTATCGATAGAGTTACAGCATCTCATCAGATTAATGTCATGTGACTACAAGACTGATTCGCGCCAAAAATTGTGCGACGATAAAAAGTGGGATGACCTACCAGGAAATGTACCATCAAGTTTGTTTTCCATCAGTCATGGCCGAAAACGAGAATTCAGATCGAACCCCTGTGACGGCGGCCGAAGAGATAGAAACCACTTCTTTAGTCGAGACAGTAAATGCCGATCCGAACGCGCCTTCCCCCGGAAAAGCAGCTGCCATAACTCAAGAAGTAGCGCCCGAAGTAGCGGAACCAAACGAAGCAGCAACTGCTCAACAAGAGGTTCTTCTCCCGAAAAGCACCTCTGATAATGAAGCGTCAAATGATATGATCATAGCACAAGACAGCGAACAACCACAGAATAATATCACTTCCAACGCAAAACCAACAGTGGCGACTGAACAGCCCACTGAACAACCAATCGAACAGCCAATCGAACAGCCAACCGAGCCACCATCTGAACAGCCAACCGAACAGCCGACCGAACAATCCGAACAAAGCATCCAACAATCAGCAGAGTATAAAGCGGTCCCGCCTCCACCTTCACTATCATCTAATTCTGATGTGGTGCAATTTAATGATGCAATGGCTAGAGTCCGAGCAATAGCTGCTAAATTACAGCAAGAAGCAGCGCGAACAAATCCACAACAGCAGACAACAGTACAACCAGCGAACACAACAGCAGACGTTACTGAGACCCCTCCTCAAGGTCATAGTCACGGTCATCAAGGTGTCAAGCGTTCCCACGAAGAGAATTATAGCAGCCACAGTTCGAGAGATAAACGTGACGATCACCGTGACGATCACCGTGACGACTATAGGCGAGACTCTTACAGCAGACGCGATAGAAGCCGGCATGATGACTACGGCCGTGATTCTAAGAGAACTGCTTACGATGGCGGATCTTCGCGTTCAGATTGTATCCTCTGCTTGCGATTATGATGTTCTTGAATTATCGCCCCAATAATGTGCTTTTCACTTTGTAATATCTTAACTTGAAAATTCATCGTATCAGATGAAAGTGGAAGCAGACACCGTTATGGCCTCGGAAGTGAAGAACGTCATAGGCAACATGGATCGTATTACGGTCCTGGGGAATCGTTACGTTCAGGACAGATTCTCGAAGAGTTTTCTGTACCCAACGTGGTTGTCGGCTCTGTTATTGGACGAGGTGGAGAAAACATAAAGAAGATTGAAAAGAACACAGGAGCCAAAATTCAGTTCTCGCAAGGTTGAGTTGAACGCGATTTAATCTATTTTATTTCAGATTCTTAGTTTGTGTACCAAAAGTCGATACACTGTTTGCCTCTATACTTACACATCGTATTTAATCATCGAAATCATATTATTCAATTGCCCAGATCAACCACCAGATTGTATCGACAGACGTGTATCTATTGCTGGTTCTCCAGAAGAAGTCAGAAGTGCGCGAACCATGATACAGTCACTTGTCGACGAGTCTCTCACGAGCCAAGTAAATCGTCGCGGAGACTATGGACCTAATCGTGTTACAGTTACAATTCACGTTCCGAGTAGTAAAGTGGGTGTGATAATAGGTCGTGGTGGCGAAACTATACGTGATCTACAAGATAGAAGTGGGGCACGAATAAATGTTACACCGGATAATGCTGCCACAGTTCAATCTGCAGATCGTCCGGTGACTTTGGTTGGCGATGAGGCTGCGATCCAGAGAGCAAAGGCGTTAATTGATGAAGTCATTAATGGTGGCGATGTTGCTTTGGACAGGGTATGGCTTTGTATGACATGCAAATGCTGATTTAGGATAAACGTGTATTACGCATACTAATTTACCATTGGTTTAAAATTGGCTTGAAGTCAAACTCCAAGGAATACGGTGGTTCTAGTCGTGGAGGTAGCGTGTATAGTGGTGACGGTCATGGAAGCAATTACAAAGATAGTCATTATGGTCCGGGAGGACAGTATGGTGGAAAGCTCTCCCAAGAGAAGGTTACAATTCAAGTGCCAAACGATACAGTCGGATTGATTATTGGGAAAGGTATACATGCTGATAAATCTAATTTTATTAATATAATGTCGTTACCCATCGCTGATTGCACGTTGCTTTCCTTTCTAGGCGGTGAGACAGTCAAGACTCTTCAACAACAATCAGGTGCTAAAATTCAAATAGAATCTGACCATGGACCAACGACCGCAGATAGAAATGTACATATAATCGGTAAGTGTACGAATAATCAACTATTCTAATTGCACATGCTCGCAATTGCCCTGCTTGTCGATTCAATGTCAGTCGTTCGATTGCTGCCTTGCGTTTATGTCGATGTAAATCGTATCGTTGTAGGGACATCTGAGACTATTGCTATTGCGAAATCTTTAATTCTTGAAAAAGCTGCGTCTGGAAATGTATATGTCGTTTACTATCGCTTGTTGAGTGGTCTTGCTATCGTTTTTATCGTAAAATGCTCGCAATGATAACGATTTGTTGGTTGTTGATGAATGTATCGTATTTCTTTCTGTTGCTCTTGTTGTCGTGTGTATTCGTTTAATTTACAGCGTGATAGGCCTCGACATCCGGACTACGGAAGGAGGTAAGAGAGAATGGTCTGAGCTTTTTCATTAGCGGCATATTATTTTAAGCATTTATCGTGGATTCACTAGTGGCGGATACCAGCAGAGCGGAAGTGGATATCAACAAGGCGGTTATCAACAACCGGGAAGCTATCCACAGAATAGCGGCTATCAACAGACGACGGGGTATCAGCAGAGCTCACCTTTAGGTGGACACCAACAAAGCGGATATACACAAAGTAGTAATTATCAGCAGGGCACTGGATATCAACAGACTAATTACACGCAGAATGCTTATCCTCCTCAGCCGACACAGCAAAATACATATGGACAAACGAACGCGGTTGGCGATCCGCTATCCAGTGGCTATAATACTGCTGCATATGCGTCATCCGGACAACAATCATCAACTAATTACGGTCAGTATAGTAGTGGTTACAACCAGACACCAACTACTTATGGCCAATATCAAACACAGCCACACTATGGTTCATATCCACAGCAATCACAATACAGTCAACAACAGTCTGCAGCGGTAGTCGGACAGACTGCTGCACAGACTGCACAACCAATGGGACAGCCAACAGCCACGGGGCAGCCAGTCAACCAGACGATACCCCAGACAATGGCTCAATCTCAAGGTAAATTGACGTGTTAATATAAACTGTGAGCGATCCTCGCAGAGCTTAGTCTGACATTAAACAGTTCCATATTCAAAAACAGGCTATTACTCAACGCAACCAACACCAGCCGATAACAAAAATTTACCCCAAGGAACCGAAGTCAAACAAGATATATCGACGTCATCCACATCGCCACAATATGGCTACCAACAGTATCAGTATAACTACGGTGCAGCTCGACCCGCAGTGACTCAATATCCAAGTATGCCTAACCCTACTTCTACCCCTCAAAGCACCTATCCAAGTTCGACCACGACTACGGCATATACTCCAACCACAGCATCCAACGCGCAAGATGCTAGAGATCAATCATCACCCCCACAACCGACATATTCAGGTTATTACCCTCAATACACCCAAGATCAATACAGCCAACAACAGAGTTATTACCAGCAGTATTACCAACAACAGCAGCAGCAGCAGCAGCAGCAGCAACAACAACAACAGCAGCAGCAGCAGCAACAGCAGCAGCAGCAACACCCGCAGCAACATCCGCAGCAACACCCGCAGTCGCTTCCACAACGACTAAATCATCAACCACCAACACAGGTTTACGGTTATCAACAAACGACTGCTGCTGCTGGCCGGCCGACCGAAGCTTCAAAATGACGCGATGTTTAATATGTCTGTAACTTCGAAATTTTGGGTAAGATACTAATGGATACAGCGTATTGTCTATCTCTATAGTAATAGGCATATATTTCTTGGTGCATATGGACAATATTCCATTGGCGCCTCATAGTTATTAGTACAATAAGCAATTGTACAGAAAAATAAATACATAACCTTCAAGAAGGTTCGGATACCTATCAATTACAATTGCACTTGGTCCGTTTACATTTTTTAATTTCCCACGCCTTGTAAAAGAACTTAGAGCAACATATTCACGCGGCAATGTAATGAAGAGGTTATGATCCAGATAGAAAAAATATGCTAGAGAAAAGTCATATAGTGCCGAATATATTCATCCGTTGTATACGCGTTTACACTTATTAGACGTCTATTGAAACATAATACAATTAATTATTAGCGGAAATGTTCGCGCGTTACTTGTGACGGAATAGTCATGCAGATCACATCAAAGATTATTTTAGATTTGTTCACGTGAAATCACATTCCTAATATTATTGTTGTAATGCGAGCATTATTCACTGTCTTGACGTTTGGACGCCAAACATACTTGACTGTTAGACCAATACAGACTAGTGCAGTATTATTTCGTAGAATGCCACCAAAAAAAGTGATAAAAGAAGAAAAGATATTACTGGGTAGACCGGGTAATAACTTGAAGATTGGTGTCGTTGGTTTGCCTAACGTAGGGTAGTATTTTAAATTTGACAAGCTTTTGAAAATTGATGCTATTCTTAAGCAACGCTTGTATACATTTATTAACTTGCCGCATATCTAATGTGTTTTGATCGTTTTTCAGCAAATCAACGTTTTTCAATGCAATTACGAATAGTGCTGTACCAGCTGAAAACCGTCCGTTCTGTACAATTGGTACTTATTTTTTAATAGTATCTCGACCGTGAAGAGAAGCCCTTTAAAAAATTTTTTTGTTAACGTCCCGGTGTATGATATTTCAAACAGATCCTGAAGAATCTCGCGTAGCAGTGCCAGATCCTCGTTTCGATTGGTTGTGTGATGTATATAAGCCCGACTCAAAAATCCCAGCTTTTTTAACGGTAATTGACATCGCAGGGCTTGTAAAGGGAGCTGCAACAGGAGAAGGCTTAGGGAATAGCTTTTTAAGCCATATTCGTGCTGTAGATGCTCTATTCCATGTTATCCGTTAGTACTCTTCTCTTTTTTATCTTAAGATCTACCCTGATTTTCACATGTGATTAATCTTGTTTTTGATCGTAGGGGCTTTCTCCGATGAAGAAGTGTCACACGTTGAAGGTGAAGTCGATCCAATTCGAGATCTGGAAATTATCCATACGGAACTACGTCTTAAAGATGAAGAATTTCTCACAAAACGTGTTGAGGATCTTGCCAAGGTTACTGCGCGTATAGGAAAGGGTGGTAGCGCAGCTGACAAGGCCAGAAAAGAAGAATTGGTGTGTGATTGAAGCACTGTATTGCAATGCCCTGCCTAACTTATGTTAACTGTAGCCGTTTGTATTTAGGAAATCTCACAGAAAGTTCTGGATCTAGTAAAAGATGACGGCAAAGATGTGCGAAAGGAAAACTGGAGTAATAAAGAAGTGAGTTTCTTGCCAATGCACCACTTTCTGTGTAGATTATATAATGTAGTAAATGTTTACGATTATTTTACCAATTAGGTTGAAATAATCAATTCTCTTCAACTTATAACTGCAAAACCAGTGATCTATCTTGTTAATTTAAGCCAGAAAGATTACATTCGAAAGAAAAACAAGTGGTGAGTGCGTTTGAACACTACGTACACGCCTTTCTTCCAAGTACTATTTGTCACTCATTTGTTTGTACAGGTTACCCAAGATTAAGGCTTGGGTCGATGAGAATAACCCGGGAGACCTTATAATCCCTTTCTGCGCTAATTTAGAGCAACGCTTATCAGTGAAAAAGTCTGCTGAAGAAAAAGAAGCAATGCTAAAGGAATTGGAAACAAACTCTGCTTTGCCCAAGATCATCGTTGCTGGTTATCAAACATTGCAATTGATCTATTTCTTCACTTGTGGACCTGATGAAGTGAGAGCATGGACTATCAGGGTAAGCATAAACGGAAAATCAGTGTTCAAAAGGAGATCATTACTTTGCGACTCACTTTTGTATTGATTCGGCTCGTAAACATGAACAGAAACTAACAAAGGCACCAAAAGCCGCAGGAGTGTAAGTTGACGCCAACTTTAGTCTCTGTAATCGCTATTCTCTTTTCATAGTAAACTGTCAACTTACACGTGTCATCTATCAAACAGCATCCACACAGATTTAGAAAAAGGCTTTATTCTGGCTGAAATCATGAAATATGAGGATCTCAAAGAACATGGGACAGAAGCTGCTGTTAAAGCTACCGGGAAGTATGCACAAAAGGGCAAAGACTATGTAATGGAAGATGGGGATATTGCATACTTTAGATCAGGTCTAGGGAAAAAGAAGTAGTTGCGTCAAAACTATAAATTGCTTTCAATGCCAGCAATAGAAAAAGTATTTATTTAGCAGGACTGATTTCTAGTAAGCAGTCCAAAGGATCATTACAAGTCTGACAGAATTTCGCAAGGAATATAAACGGGGATTTAAGCTACTTAATGTCTGCATCTCAGAGACAAAGACGATATGTAACATATCGACCAGCCGTCTCGCTAGGTCGTACTATCCTTACCACCTTGTTAATATAAAAAGTTTCAATTAGCTAAAGAAACATGCTGAAACTAAATAAACGTCTGATTATTATCACACACCTGACCGCGTTTCAAACCGTAGTATCTTGCCACGGGATCAGTTATTTGAATCCTTGGCAATTGTGTCTCCTTTAATCTACTGTAATGGGGTAAAGGGAAAAAAATCAAGGCCAATTGTTTCAGGATAAGATTTGCCTGCTCACAATATTGCAGAATGAATTTATCAAGATACTTACTATCTCTTCAGCAAGGCTTTTTTCTCTTCGTCCGTCAATAGAGTATGATGTGGTACTAACTGATGTTCAGTAATGTTAACCAAAAGTTCCGACTCTGAGAATGTATCCAATTCATATGTAAATGTATCAGGTCCCCTGTCGCTAATGCCTTGGTTTAGAGATTGAATCGCTTTGTTCGCAGCCGATGTCAATGTGCCCTGATAGACTATTATTCCACGAGAGACGCGTTGGTCCACCATTTTTGTACAAATCCTGAGTTGAGAATCAAAAGAGATTATGAATATTTTTTGTGCCGAAACGACAGCCGATCGTTAATCTGAACAAGACTTACTGTTTTAAATATTTCACGCCAACAGTTTTCTCATTGGGGAAGGTTACTAAAAGCTGTTCCGTTGGGTTATCACTTTTTTGTACTTGGAACATCATTTCGTCGCGTCTAGGAAAGGGAAAAGATAATTGAGTACTTTTATAAACTCTAATGTCGCAGAATTCTCAATCTTGTTTGCTTATATTTATTTTTTTGCACACGAAATGAATACCTACGAAACCTTCCCATTCCTTACACATTTAGCTCGGAAGTAATCCATATCCGGGTTTAATTCTTGTTCTGCCACGACGTAACCCTAATCGTATCATGCGGAGGATTTTTGGAATGGTCTATGAGTAAAGAATAACTTTCTCACTTAGTCTTACTTGTAGGACGATGAATAATATCACAGTCTCACGTCAGAACACATGTTTTACTCGGTGCGAGGGCAGAAGAAAGTTGAGAGTGATCTCCCTGTTTCAACCTCCCATCGCTTCGTAAGCCGGCTGTCCCTCGCTCTTGACAGTTACCCTATGATGTGCCATTTGGTGCACGGTCCTATATACTCGGAATAACCGAGAGATTTCCGCTTCGGCGCTTTCCTGGAAAGACATCTTTAAGGCGATCAGTAATTAATTTGACCTCAGTATTATGTGGAGATGCTTGTACAACTCGCAGTTATATTTGGGCACGTGTACATAGACATCAAACAAAAAGTGTCAATGTCGCGTAAGTAAACTGGGGCATATCAAATATAAGTTTTGTGTAGTCTTTCTTGACTATGGTTTGTTTAATTATCTATAATAATTATTTCAATATTATTAACATCATTATTAATATTACGAATAGCGTAGATGAGTTTATACCAGATATTATTTAGTAAAAAATCCGTTAGTTATATTATTGTTATGAAAAGATCTGCCAGAGACATTTTCTTAAATCCAATTATACAAAGATAATAATAATGAAAATTAAAAAGTTTCAGCGCGGACAACCATAGTTGGCGTCATAAATACTATTGTCATATAAATAATTAATTAATGTTTGCTGCGAAGAGTTATAACTATGGGTAGTTCGACAATCCGTGTATCTACTCATAGCGACAAACACTTGCCACACGTCTATACATACTAATCAAACGTATTACTTGAATGTGAAGTAAATTATAAATTTTGCCGCTATTGCCTAACTGGGGTTTCCATAAGAATTACATCCTTATTCTCGACTTCCTCCATCTGATTCGTTTCGTCGACAGCTGTTATTGTTTTTGCTTCCAGCCTCAAATTCCTTGAGTTATAAAATAAAACTGAAAATGATAAGACTAATGCAACTATACCCTGGAAGTACAAACTTCTTTTCATATCTCGAGGTCTGCTGGCATTATCAGGAAGTCTCAATTGATCCATTACAATTGTAAATATTACTCCGCCACCCTGTCCTCCAAGCCATAGAATAGCTGCTGATGTATTGGCGGATACCGGAAATGTACCTTAAAAAACAAGAACGTAAACCATTCGTTATCAATTCTAGCGGAGAATACTGAGAATCGCAATCGCTATAGTAATGCTTACATTCAACGCCAATCTCCAAGGCAACTGGTAGCAAGGAAAAGGACAGAAATCCAATAAGACCACAAAGAATCATAATTTCAACATAAAAGTTTTCTCGTACTAATATTGTGTAGAATAGATTTAGTTAATGTGTTGGAATCAATGCTGATGCTATGTCCAAATTCGACAAAATATTATCAGTAGTTGTTGATTATATCAATATGACAGCTACTACTTCACTTACCAACGAAAGGAAGTAAAAAAAATCCGACTCCAACCACAGGCGTAACACTCTTAATAAGCGTCTTATATGCCTTCGTTTTATCAATTATCGGGCTTGAAATCCCCGCGCCAACCAATCCACTCAATATTGTGATTGCGCCAATTATTCCACTCATGGTATCGTTATATCCATACGGCGACAGGATATTGTTCATCAATATCAGAAAAGCACTGAAGAAGCCAACTATCGTCGTAAACGCAATCCAGATGACCAAAAAGTTCCGATTGGTCAACAATTTCTTAAATCCAGAACCAAACTTTTCTGCCGGCAGGGATGCAGAGAACGACGGATAAGTTGGAGGCTTGTCTCTCAAGAATAACACTGGAATCGCAGTCACAGTCGCTATTGATGCTGTCAGGATTAAACCGATGGGAAAACGACTCTCCTCGGTGACAATACTCGGGATAAGAATTTGAGCTACAGCTCCTCCAAGTGGATTCGCAATTGATCCAACCATATTTGCTGTTGTCCTGCCATCATCACTGAACCACGTCATTGCGAAATTAGTGGGCGCCGTTAGGAAAATGCAGTTGCTGACTGCACAGACAATCTGCCCAATAGTTATGATCGCATACCGACCCTTAACAGCGCTTACGAAAATTCCTGAATATCTAATCCAGCCGCCCAATGCACTCAAGAATGCACCAAATAATAAAGACTTTCGCAATCCCCATTTATCCAACATGAAGCCGACCAATGGCGACACTACGACAAATACTATAAGAAAGATGGTTCCTAATAGAGTCACCGCTGTGTCTGACACTGCAAGGTAATTCGCGGATAGTTCCGTAACTGGAGCGAACGTAAGCCAATAGATATTGTTCGTAAGGTTGAGGAAAAAGAGTAATGTAAGACCATACCAGCGATGAGGGTGGAGCTTATAAGCGGGATTAGGGGATGACTGAACGACGGTCAGTCGAGCTTCTTCGGCTGGTTTCGTTGTGGGTGAGAAAGAGGCCATCAAAACTCGAATACTATTAGGGTCGATAGTTGGAATTTACATATTTATAATGACTGAGAGGTATCAATACAAAAAATTGTGTTACACGTAATTACAGTTACTGTGGGTCATAAGGGTATGGCAATTACAATTGATATATTGGCCCATTATACAGTAACTGATCATCGAAGTTAACAATACCTGCCGTTCCAGCTAAGCAAAAAGATGCTTAGCTAACATTCTACAAAAATAAACACGGAATATCGCTCGTCTGGTGTCAACCGGACCCCTTATTATTATGTTAAAGGACGTCTGAACTTGTGACGTACGATCAGATCGTCTGTAGCAGCAACTATTACCGAAAAAAGTTGGCAATGGTTGCACTATGATGTAACTAACTATTTCAGTATTCGATACATATGAAAGTTTCAAATGTAAGATCAGATCCCAATACTCTGAAACCGCGTTCTATTTCAGCTTTGACACTTCCTCCTTGGAACACGAGCTGTCATTGTTTTTAAAAGGTCGATCGCTATTTGCAGTTTTTTATTTTATTTTTTTGACTTAAGGACAGACGTAAAGACAATGAATGGAATATAATAATGCATCGATTCGAATGAAGGTAATTTCTTGTGTAAAATAAATGTTTTTTGCAGATGCCAAAGACAAGATAAGCTGCAGCCATGTAATCGAGAATTTATTATTCAACACCACCATCATATTTATTAAGGTAAGTTCTAACAGGCAAACAACCTTTTCACTGATAGGAACTATCAACACAAACCAATCCAATGATCAGATAAGAAATATGCAACAAAAAAAAAAAAAAAAAGAAAAGGCAAAGCTGAATAATAACGTTTGATGCTCCAAACAATTATCACTGGTCAAGTAGCAATTAAGGACTAAAGTCCCGTTTTGTCTGGTTTGCTTGCAGTATTAAGTATGCCCTGTTTGGAGGTGATATAGGTATTGGGTATTGTTGCAGAAAGTGATTGAAATTTACACAAATCTTCCATTTAAGGATATGTGGTTTTTGCGGTTTATATGAAGCATGATTTATGCCATTGGGCGACTTGTTTAGAAATTATCTCCCAAAAACAAAGCGTTTACTGGGACAGATTAGTGGATATGTTACGCTATAACCTATCCACTGACGATTACAATAATAATATTGGTTTTCGCCTAATACTAAGCAGGGTACACGTTAAACATAGGACTATTGTTTCCCAACTCAGTAACCCTTCGTACATTCGAATTATACATGTTTTGTTCAATATAGCAGTTATCGATAAACATATTAATATAAGGTAGTAATAACGGATTATTAGATACAAAAGATCTATTTTTTATTTTTTTACGCATGCAGATGCCATCGGTTTAATCATCCTGCTATAATCAATAAATAATATGTATAATCAATATTACATATGGTTAATAAACCTTTATTGATCCAAACCTATTAATAACAACGTCATTAACACCATATCTAACTAACATTATAGTTTTTTCGATTTTCGATTCTACACGTCACCGACTTTATCCGTAATTTTGCTGACTATTCATAATTTGATACTGCGGTGCCCCATTTATGGTCTCTGTTCGGGTACCATCAGACGATTCTGTGATAAGCGTTACATTGCCCTATTACGACAAGGAAGTGCTGTTAGTATACAGGGTATACGGTTACGCTTGGACAGAAATCCAAAACAACTTTTCTCAACAAACCTGTGCGTCGGTCCTCTTTATGGTAGTCGTTCTGACACCATTTCTAATTGTTGTTGTCGAGGATTCTGAAACAAATCCCCCACCTCCACCCGAAAATGAATTAAATGAGGTGAATGTTGAGGATCCGAATGCATTCCCCAGTGAGGGAAATCCCCCAAATGGGAGTGTTCCAAATGGGAGTGTTCCAAATGGACTCATCCCCATCGATTGAGTCTGCTGTTGGACAAATCCACCATTGAAGAACGGATCGCCAAATACTCCTGGGCCTACACGTACAGTAACCACACCATGTAAGAGAATTACTCTGGATACATGTTCACAAAACAAAACGAGTACTTTACCAAACATGCCAGAAAATGGGTCGACGCCAAAGAATTGTCTAAATATTTCGTTAGGATCATGGAACTGTTCATAAGAAAATTCCGTTGATGCGGTTAGTTTGTTTCAAATATATCAGAGATTCAAACAAAATTTTGTTGGCGCTAACCATGAATCCTGGGAACGCCCCGCTTCCTGCATCAAACGCGCTTGCGCTGCCACCATTCTTAAGACCATCTTCACCGTATGTATCATATACTTGACGTTTATTAGCTAAAAAATGAAATAATCCTTTAGAATTGTCTTATTCCGCATAATTCGTCGTTGTCTAATTCGTACGATTTGTAAGCTTACAGTCACTTAATATTTCATATGCTTCGGCTATTTGTTTAAATCTGACTTCTGCCTCTTCAGGTCTATGTCGATTCTTATCAGGGTGCCATAGTAAAGCTGTTATTCATGAACGTGAAAACAAGACCTAGTAAGTTGATTGTCCGTTGGCGCCGTCATGGCTAGAACTCGTTCCATAGATAATAGAAATTCCGAATACGCCTCACCTTGTTTCCGATAAGCTTTGCGAACTTCTTCGTCCGTAGCTTCGGTTGCGATACCGAGTATTTCGTAATATGACATTTTTGCGTCCATGTTTTAGGTCAGTGAAAATATGCGAAAGGTAGAATGCGAATCTGACTTTCAGAGGTGAAGTACAACGAAAACATGTATTACTGCGTCGAATGTCATGGAAAACCTAATATAACACGTGATGTATCCAAACCAATTATGCTTGACATCAGGAATTGCTAAATTTGGTTTGTATGGAAGCGAAGCGTTGAACCAGTAACCACCAACCTTTCACTTCCAATGGTGGAGTATTAGTATGCTGCTTTGTTTCAACCGATAATGATTGTCTGTCGAGAGACAAAGAATGTAAAAGTTTCCCTTAACCCAGTGTAATTATTTATATGAAGAACCATGTTATCGCATTGACTATTTTTTTTTTTTTTTAACTCGCGTCATGTAACTGGTACCTTGTTCTTATTAACATGGCTTTTGCAGAAACCTAAAATCGCCTGACAATGTGATACTGCCCCCTAAACTGTATAACGATACATGTCAATGGACATTTCCATCCCTGCAACCTGCCATGTGTTGCTGTAAGTAAAATAAGTAATATAAGTACTGTTACGACTTATTCCAAGCTATCTGTGCAGGTATCTATGGAAGTATTAAGAATTATGGAGTGGGTGGAGGCCATGGGGATTTATGGAGGTAGATGTATATGGAGCGATGGTGGAGGATAAAGCTAAGAAGCAAGTTATCGAGTTGACATGGATTCGTTGACAAAGGCTTTTTTTGCCAGGCTGTGACACGTTGGAAATTAGTAACACATCGCACAAAAAGCAGCGTCAAGTTACACATGCGCGCTATAGAGTTTTCGACCGGATTGGGATAATAATAATAACACGCAGTATTTTCCCAATTTAGCGAAAAGTTCTGTCGGTTAATTAAATTAGTAAAAACTCGTAGGTTTCCCTAGCAATCCACATCTTCAGCTCATCTTCGATATTTTATTCTTATCAAACAATTCCTTGCAATTAGAATACGAGTTTTATTGAGACGTGAAAACTCACGTTCTGTATTGCGCAAGGGCAATAAAGACCAAAACTTTGCTAACTAAACAAGCTTAGACTTTCGTTCATCTTTTTCAAGTATCTGAATTTAATAGTTGGTAAAGTACAATTTCCTTTTTACTTTAATCTTTATGTGGAGGTATGCACAGTAAAGTCTGCTTTAACGAAGGTCCGTTTTACCTTATAACGAAGCTTTTTCAGGAACCGATTCATTCATTTATGCTTAGCTCCCGGTTTAACGAAGATTTATAATTAAAATCTGTATAACAATATAGCGAAGAAATTTCAAACCTGCTATAAGATAAACCATTCAGTTTAACAAAGATTGCCTAAATTACATGATATACCGAAATTTGGTGCATAACGAAGTTCATTTGTTCCACGATTTTGCTTTCGTTAACCTGAAAGTTCGCTTAAGTGAACTGTCTTTTTATATGAAATGTATGAATCCGTTCTGAAAAGAACTTCGTTATAAAGCGATCTTCGTTGAAGTGAGACTTTGTTAAAGTGAATTTCACTGTATAGTATTACTGTATATAGAAATTTAAATAATACACTGCATGTAATAATGATGTCTAACTATTCGCCCATTCAGGTTGCAAGTGATTGTGAGGAACAAGCCTCACCATTGTTAGGTATAGAATCTTCTTCCAAAAAAACGTCCCCGAGTTAAAGACAAATATTTGTTTTGGATCAAAAAAACCACGTACAAACCTTACAATTGTTATGAAGAAGGAACTATGTCAGTACAAAAGTAAACGAATAAATCCCACTTTAACGAATATCACGTGATTATAATGAAAGTTCGTTATATAGGTAGAAGTCCGCTTTAACGAAGAGTCCGCATTAATGAAGTTTTTTGGCGGAACGGAACTCTTCGTTAAAGCGGACTTTACTGTGTAATATGTAAAGCAAAACAATCAATACATTAATTGTGTGCCATCTAGCAGTGGCAAAAAATTTGCACTGGGCTGGCCCGGCCAGAACATTTGGATGAGATACAAGCAAAAAGATATAAGCACCATACTATTCATAAACTTTATATTAGCAGCAGTATGTCGTCAGTCCGAAAATAAAATTTGGACATCAGCATTACATTGAGAGAACTTAGATGCTAATTGGCAGTTAGTTGTCAACATAACATCACAGATTCTCATCAGCAGGCTACGGAATTATAAACGAACGAATAAATAAGATAATAATAACCAGTTACATGTTATGTATTATATATAATAAAAAGAACAAGTTGAATTTAGTGTACTATATGGTTATAGTTAGCAAGTTGCTTGAATGTAGCACATTCAAAGGGAGTAATAACAATGGCAATATTTCTAATTCCAAGAAAAAACTATCAATTTTGCTTTCTAATCAACGTAGGTTGATCTTCTCTTATGCTCCTTGCAATCTCTACAAAATATCTTTTCAATTCCTCTGTTGTAGGTGTAACCTTGAACTGACATTTAAGCCCTGTATTATTAGTATTGGCTACATACTCGGATACAATATCGGCCATTTGTTCAAGTTCTTGGCAACCATCTACAAGTAGTCAAGCAAACTTAGCGTCAAATCACAAATGCTATAAGAAATGCATTGTCATATACCTGATTCCATTGAGAAGGCAACAATATACAAATACAAAGGACATCTAATAAAAATAGATAGTTATTACTAACTTATTAACTGAAACAACTGTAGTTAACCATTAATTGTTACTTACTCTTTATCACTATTGTTTTCACACACTTTTCTAAGTTCCTGCTCAGGTATTGCATCTTCTCCATCTGATAAAAAGATGATCACGTTTTTCCTTTAAATAATAGATTGATTAGTTTCTCATGGTAAAGCTTGTTTAGACAAAAATAGAAAAAAATACCTCAGCTTCCTTTTGTGTTTTTGAATAAGATCACCTGCAGTCTTAATTGCTTTATTAAAGCGCGTTCCACCAGCGGCATATTCTTTACAAAGAGTCTCCATCACTTCATCATTGTCTGCAAACGTTTGCCTCTCCATTATTATGTGAGCATCACTATTAAAGAGTATAAAAGACATTATATCATTTGCCTCGTGAGCAAACCCATCTGGTCCACATCTAGTACGGATGAACTGCTCTATGCATTCGTAAACGGCACCAAGTCGATTATCATGACTTTGAATAATATTTGCAGATCCTTTTCGATCAAGCGGCTTTATGTCATTCCAGGCCATCGATCCAGATTTGTCGATAACGAAAACAATATGATGTGATCCATAGTGAGCACAATCAAAGTGGTGTCCATCACTGGAGATATGCCCATTAGTCACCGGTGCATTTGGATCAAATTTATCGTGAAATAATTTTAGCGTACAATAACTCGGTCCAAAATTGCCTCGGTTCTTATTCTTGTGTGTACGATGACCACATTGATGCAAACATTTTCCAAATATTTCTTGCTCATCGGCTGCTACATAAGGATCTATTGCAATATAATATTTAGCCCAACTATCAACTTGCCAATAACTGGTACGTTTAAAATAGTCTTACCAACGAAATTAGAACGCTTCCAGTATAAAGAGTGGGATATATAATCCTTAGCACGATCCGGATATGGTTCCATTTCACCTACATTTTATATCAGTTGTACACTGTAAGCAATAATGAATCGTAGAAACAGTTACAAACAGTTACAAGCCACATTTTACTTACGCTCCATATGTTCTATTCCCTGTCTACGAAGCATTTCAGGCGTAGTTTTACATGCATCAATGTTTTTACAATAATCAACATGGAGATGTCGTTTGGCAGATTTACATAACTATTGATTACAAATTAATATTAGCTTGATCCAGATCAGCATAATTCATTTGCCAACACCCTTACCATGTGACAATAAACGTGACTTCCAGTCTCACCTCCTGTGAATGTCCGGTTATCGTATTTGAAAGTTTCAGAAATGCCAACCCAAGCCATAGGCTTCATGCTTCCATGTGCTGTATTATGCAAGTCTCTATGTCCATAACTCTTGGCACACTGAAATATTCTGTTAATATTGATCCATTCTGTTTAATGTAAAAAAAAAAGATATTATCAATTACAGCCTTATACTTACATAATATTCGCAATATGGACATTGAATATCGCATGTATGGCTTGTATTACATTTGTGGTCGCCCTCATGCACAAGTTGGTTTGGCGGAATTTTTACATCACATTTGCATCTTGTTCCTACTTGGGAATGCTTCAGAAATGTACTATCAGTAATTGTGACATTTTGTAACAATTATGAAGCAAAAAAAATTCTACCTCTTCATAATCAAATGTATTGAACTTGTTAGTATAGGTGTTTATATTTATGATGGTATCAACTTTGCAAATGCCGGGTGTTTCACATTTTTGTTTACAATCATGTATCTGCCTAATAGGTTCCAAATCAGTTGTTATAGTTAGCTTTTACCACTTCAATTGAAAGAGGAACGTCACAACTCACCCGCAAAAATGATTCTCCACGCCATGCTGAAGTGCATGAAGATGGTCATTACTTTGGCAAAATCTCTGGCACTCATCAATACAACATCTGATTTGGCATTTTTGAGTCTCACATCTGTGTTCATTATGTTCCTTTCCAACAGGGATTGTACAAACGCCTGTACATTTATATAAATCAGATTTTGATAAGGAGCAGGGTTCTCCACAATAATGTTCATTTGCATCACAAAGATGGTCGCCCTCATGATCAACTTCCTTTGAACAATTACCAAGACACCCATTTCTATTGTTGTATTTGCATTTATCCACACATGCATGTCGCATTTCACATCTATGTCTATTTCTATGTCCAGCGGGACAATCACACACTGGAAGTTCATCTTCAGTGTGGGCCTCCTTAATATTGCAAGGAAAGTGGCATTTGTGATCAGTCATACAATCATGTCCTTCGGACTCTTCATGTTGATTCTTCAGGCAGGGTAAACTACACTGATCATTGTTACACGATTTTTTGCATAAAGTCCAATTCTGTTTAAGCA